TTCATTTCTTTGTGTTTCTGTATTTTTCTATTAGAGCAAAGATGGTAGAATTCAGATTTATAATTGCAACATATTTGACATATCAAGGTAAATTATGACTAAAATTACATAGCACGTTATTTCTAATCAGTAGCTCAGTTCTAGCATGCTTCTCTACATACTCCCAGAGCAAATCACAGTATTTGTTCGTGTTATAAAAATATATATGTTATGTGAATTATCACCCTCTTGTGTGTGCCTTCTCTGCTTTGGATTCAGAATATCACATGGCATTGCGTTTCAGTAATTTTTGATTAAAATTTAACAAGCAAACTCTATACATTAACCGTAGTGATGCTAGGGTTACGGGTAACCTGATGGTAAATTTCTCGTTATTGCTCCTACTATTAATGTCAGTCACACGTATCGTATTTTCCTGTTATCCACGACCATTGTCTAACTACAATCAAATAACTAGAGACATGATACAAACGAATTGTAGTTGCTTGAGCTAAGATAAGCAAAATGAGACATTGGTTTAACATTGGTCGTCAGATAATCCATCAAGCAATCACTCGGACGACACATGCACTAACGTTTTCACATGATGTAAACATTTATATAGTTACATGCTCAATAATCATTAGGGAATTTTACACATCTCCCCCCCCCCCTCGTTACTAACATGATAAATAAATACTTTCAAATTATATATTTTGTTTCTACTATGAAGCACGGTATTAGCAAGTTTCAAATGATAATATTCATTATATGTATTATATATATATATTTATTCCACAGTGATATAATTGGTGAAGTTGACGCTATTTGGGATAGAGGTGGTATCACTGCTATCGAGCCATTAGATATGGGTAGGTAGGTACGATACATTTTAATTGTAATTGAATACACACCTAAAAACACCATATTATACACTTACGAGGTACTGTTAGAGTGGTTATAACATACGCTGCTCTACTATCGGAGTGGTTGTCATTCAGTCGCCATTGAAGCATTTCCGCCACTGCACTGTACTCAATTGCTCAGATAGAAGATCACATACGAGTGATGTATTTACAAAATTTATTCCTGTTCAAAATTGCCAAAGCTTTGGCTATCAGTCACACATACCTTCAGTTATTCTCATTCAGTTATTCTAATTTTTCATATACATGTACAATTGTTTAGTAAATGCAGTAATTACGTTAATGAATATTGATTTAATAGGCCGGTGTTTCTAGGGTCTGAAGTCGTGCAGGCAGTGCACACAATTTCATGGATATGTGAATGTTCGTATACAAATATAACAGTACTAAATACACTTCACTTGCGATGTTTGTTTCGATGATACCCTTGACATATGTTATTCCTGGCATTATTATTCTAAATACTAACACTTGCTAAATAATGCATACGCTTCGTATATTAATCATGACTTACTTGTTCCGTTTACAGATATCTTGATGTGATTACTTCAAATATGAATGCATACACCCGATATTGTCTTGTTGTTGTAGACTACGACCCGTCGGTCAAATCCGGTGAGTTTTACATGAATGTGATGTGACATATTGGCGTTTAATCGACCACATTTAATAATGTTTTTCATTATTCTTAGATCCCCCTTTTCCGCAACTTGTCTTGAGAACAGATATCGAACAATCATTGGTGAGTATAATATTTGTTGAATATATGTAAATATGTATAAAAAATAAAGAAATCTGAATATTCTATTTATATAAGCTGTTCTAGAATCATTTATTTTGTGAACTTTTATTATGAACACTACGACACAACGCTTTTATTAGCAGTGTTGTATCTCACTGTATTTATGCTATCGCACTTTTTTACAGGTGCACGATTAAGTATTGAGAAGATTGGGGAAACATCAGCTTTACGGGAGATATTGGTTAAAAAAGGCCACAAGTATTTCAATGATGTTCTGTTTCTGTTGACATTGAAACCTTAAAGTATACTCCATTTATATGTTATATAATGTGTGGAGATATTTTCAATAAAATGTTCGATATATGCAAGTTTTTCGATGAATAGATGTTTGTGTCTTAAATGAAAAGCAAAGTTTTTATAATTGATATTGTCTTGCTAGTATATCTATAACCAGTCTTTCTTCGGAACATTTGCCTCAGTTATTCATAAATTACAAACCTGTGTGTCACCCCAATGAGATATCTTACCTTTAATCTATATACGTATGTTTACCAAATTATATTTTTCCATTTGAGGTATGTGAATAAAAAATATGTAAAAAATAAATTTTGTGAGCTTCCAATGGTAATTGCATTGTTTATAATATAGTTTATGCTGATGTAGTCAGTATAAAATTGTATATTCCCGATGACCAAAAGTGACTCGATGAAGACCGCTTCCTCCCTTTGGATAGATGGTAGTGAAGTAACACTTGGTCAGCTATGTTTTTAGAACCTTTAATCAATTCTTTATATAAAGATAGTTTTAAAGTGCGGAATTAAAACATATGTACTTGCGTGGTTAGAATGACACGATTTCGTAGTCTGGAAAATATATTCATGAAATGCTTGTATAAAACAGATCGTGAAGTAATTTTCTTTTTTTATAATTACCTACCTCCGTTGTTGTGGTACTTTACATGTGTATGGACAAATTTGCATATAGTGGTTTCCTTTGAGTAAAGTTGTGGGTCATATTATCATTGAAATAAAAGTTTCAACAGTAATACAACTCAAAAAATATCATGAAATCAAGTTGGCAAGGAAACATACATTTCATTTGTATCTCAGAAAACTATGGAGAAAGTTTCAGGAATGAGACAATCGGATAGTTTGGGAAAAATCTGAGAAAGAAACTATATTATTATTATTATGTAGTGCATTTTTTGGTTAGTTGCTGAATGTAACGTTTGCCTGTATCCCACCATAACTGAATTGACCGAAATCGAGATTTTTGTTTACGCCATGACAACCAGTATTGGTGGAGTATATCACAATATAGTTCATCGTCTAAAAGACATTGAAGACATTTAACATTGCAGGGCAACACTGGGTTATGGTTCGATGGTTCGCATGAACATTGACCTTTGACATTGTTTTAATTAAGATTGCGATACCAGAGTGTGAATTGTTATGGGAAAAAAAACATTGGCCCACGCTATACAACTTGCCAGCCACGTTAATCGGAAGGTATTGTATCTTATATTACAGGTAGTTGTTTTGCTATTGGCCATTACTGATTGTAAAATAATACACACATAGATACTACACATTATATATTTATGTAATATTTTATTAATAAGATAATGAGATATCGTTTAATTATTTTCAAATCGTTTTTTTCTTTCCTCGTGCAATGACCACGTCTTGCGTTTAATATGTTGGTTCTTGTTTCAATTTCATTACTTTCACTGTTTTTCTCACCTTCCGTAATGTTTTTTCACAGCCTGGCCGTAAGTCGCTGTGGGATGT